AGGGGTGACACTCACAGGTGTAGCTTTGCAGAGCTGTTCTCTGTACTGAACCTAGCAAACATGGCAAAGGATATTACACAGAGACTTTTGAGTAACAGAAATACAACAGTGTGTTAGACATCATTAAAGAGCACACTGCATTCAGACGGAAAATATGGTTCCTTAATAAACACCCACATTTTTCCACATGATACTTAGTACTCACTCTTTTGCAGTTCTTTTATTTCAGACACAGATAATTGATATTTCAACAGGAATACTTTGCTGTCATTGACGTTAATCAAAGTGCAAGGCTTAGGAGTTATCATCTACCATTAATTGATTAACTTAGTCTTTGTGGACAAACAGGAACCAGCACAAACATCACAGATATATTCAGTGAGGCACAAACACATTTAATACAGCAGAGAGAAGCGTGCAAGCAATGAAAATGGGGCACACATTGCTAATATTCTTCTGGTTTTCCTTAACTCTCCTTAGTTCGGGTGGATCAGAAATAGTTGTTGCATGCTGAATTTCTTCCTTGTATTTAATCTGCACAATAAATATTACAAAATATTAGCAATTTAAAGAAGATACAGACAAGCACTAAAACACAACAAACACTTTGTAATCTATTGCTTACACATACTGCACAGCTAGACCACACCTATCAACACTATTGACCTGAAAAGGAATAGTTAAATTTAATTTCTGAAACAGGCTGCTAGGGTCTCCAATGTATCTTGTTTCATACAATGCAGCACAGAGCACATAAAACAAGCCTAGTATCCTAAAACTCTTACAGTGGGAATATACACCACATGGGATTGTGGCTATCTTCATGATAATTGGGATGCTGCATATATTTCTTGGAGATCTGCATCACTCTGGCTATGCCTTGGTCTTGCTATTATCTCACTACAGAGTCTAGCAGTCCATTTCAGAAACCAAACATTTCAAAGATGTGTTCTTAAAAGGGTACATAACTTCAAAGTCTCATTCAAGTTCTCTAAAAACACACACACATATCAGGAGAATGCAGATGTTTGGATGGGTGATGCCTTTGAAGATGCTGTCAGATATTTAATGTTGGTTTTGCCACATTTAATCTTTTCTAAACAGCAGTATGTTTGGATATGGTAGACTCCACAATTTGAAAGAGGCACAGAACAAGAATTTCTTTAGTTATATACCATATGTACCAAAACTGGAATGCAACTTAATGAGAAAGAATTGTAAGGTTAAGTGGATGTGTTACTAAAAAGAAAGACATCCTATTTTCTAGTTTTCTGTATGCTATCCGAAACGGTCATCTTGGACAAATCTGTGCATTGTTTTTATCTTACTGTCTATTACTAAATACCTGTCCAATATTCAGCACATTCAGCTTCAAATCTCTTATGCCACCATAAAATAAAAAATCCTTGTAGACCATGCCATCCTTTACAGTGATATTGCATGCTTTCTTTTTCTTTACAATGGTAATAAACCAGCAAAATTCACCAAAACATTCAATATTCTGTGTGCAGTGATACATAATAGATGGAAACATTTTTCATTAGTAAGATTCAAGGAACGAAAAGTACTTTAAGAACAAATGAACAGCATAATGAATCCATTTGTACAGTTTTATATTAATGTGGCATACAAAACTTCCACTAAAAACATTTTAAGGCTGCAAAATCAAGGACTCAAAAATCAGAAAATGACAAAATTAACTTAAATGTAACCTTACTTTTACTCCTTGTACAAATATGCTCCATATACAGCTTTTAATATATTTTATACTACTCCATTCTTTTCCTCTTTAAGTGCTTTATAATTTTCTTTATCTATTACCTATTTTATCTATTTCTCAAGAGAATTCTGCTTCATTCATTACACATAATCAATGACCCTTACTTAGTGAGTAGTTTGCATGTGGACCATGACTGATGGTTTTGGTATTTTTCTTTAAACGCTCTAAGGTCCTGCATTGATGACAGAATCATTGATTTCTTCAGGAATTTTCCTATGTTGCTCCTCGCTAAAGCATTGGAGTTTTTTACACACATTAATTCACAAATTTTGCTATGAAATGAGGAAAAAGTGAATTATGACAAGGAAAAGTACTATTTTTACTACAAAGCACAGACAACAGCTAATCTGGCTACATAATTTTTAAAAACATAGGATCATACAGCACCTGCATTCAAATGAGAATTCCCATTGAACTGTAGTTTGCAAAATGGAAAATCAGAGCAGGTCTGTGATAAAGTATAAAATCGTATACTTGCAACAGACCATCAGGTCTAGACCCAGGGATTTCAATTCAAGTTCTTGCTTTTGAGTATAGACTAAGGGACCTTAATAATATTCCCTAAAGGTATCTCTTAAGGAGGCAATTTCTCATGATTTAAAAAACTACAAACGTACGTTCCTCACACGCCTTCAACTGAAGTCCTTGGTTTGTTTAGATTGACTGCACAAACCTACGAGAACAACCATAGTTTATTACCTCTGTGGACATCATTGTGAAAGAAATGGAACATATTTGGCCAAGGGTACCTCAGGTACACTCTGACAGCAAGGGAGTGATGAGTGTAACTACCTTGGGTTCAGTTTCAGCTCTTCTGGAAGGAAGCACCAATGCACAGGAGCACATCACTCTGCCTGTCTTTCCCCACATTTGGCCTGTCCGCTTTGACCAAGCCCTTCCACACTTTCAGTGCCCCATCCCTGGCCTCTTTTTTCCCAAATCCACTGTACCAAATGTCACTTAGTAGATAATTTTCAACTCTCTTCTCCAAGACATGGTTCTTTTGGAGTCTGCCAAATTTTTTAACACAGACAAAACAACATGTTTTTCTCTAAGCTCATACTTGGAAGCTGCTTTGGCTGAAATTTATAAATAAACAAATAAAACCAAACCAGCCCAAAGCACAGACTAGGAATGGAAAATTTCAGTCCAGACAGTTTAGGACTGGCAGAAGTACTAAACCACTGGAAAAAAGGGTCTTTTAATAGAGACTATTAGCTAAGCTTAAGAATTGGCAGTGCTACTAGTCCTTAAAATGCTTCAAAATGTCCGTTGCTTGAGTTTTAATCAGATCCCAGCTTTGTGGTGTTGACTGACATATCACAGGGGTTTCCTCATGGATTTCACAAAAACACAATTACAATCTTCCCTCAAAGCCTTCTTCCCAGCGTTGTGTCCAGCCCCGCCTGTCCCTCAACATACAGAAGTTTTTAAAAAAAACTTTAGTTATTTGTAGCTTCTGTGTTCAGATTCAGTTACAGTCCATGGGTTTGATGTTTGCTTTTAAAGTTTTATGAGATTGTGACTCCAACTATTTTGGAGGTTGCTTCTTCCAAACCAATCATCACAACAGGTGAGATGAGCTCAACAACCTTGGCTGTCACCACCTTGTTTTTTAGGATTTGAAAACAGACTGCTCTGATCTTTGTCTCCAATATACGTCATCTGGAAGACTCTGATCACTTTCAGAGCATCATGCAATGGACTTTTTTGCATGGCTTGGTTGTAGTGAGTGATATTTTGGTTTGATATTCTGGGGTTTTTTGCACTGCAGATCTGCTTCACATTCCATAGTTTCATTTAGCTCAGCAAACAGTTTTAAAGCTGTCCTAAGTCCTTCTGGCTAAATTAAAAGATATGTGTAAAATGTTTAAATCTAATGCAGTCAAAATTGGTGTAATTCACCCTTCCTTTGGGACTCCTGTAAATTACATGATATAATTTCCCACTTACTGCACAATATAATTTCTGTCTTACTGACACATAATTTAAAATTTTCTTGTAAATTGCCTTTAAATTTGGCATTCTACACTTTTAATAAATATTATACTAGACCTAAATAATCTCAAGTACACTACATGTAATAAAATATCTTTTCTAAAATATTAACTCTACACACAGACTAGCAAGGTAAAGGCCATGCTACTTACACCGTACCACTAAACCACTAATGCATTTTGTGTTTCTCTAGATATGCTTTTGTTCAATTGTGTTTACTAGGATTTCTAAAACAGCAAGAGCACTGTACACTATTTTTCCATTTCATTTTGAAAGATATTGAGAAAAAGCATTACAGAAAGACTACCCTTAATAAGCCTCTCTGTGTGTGTGTGACTACTCTTGAAATAAAAGTCTGTGGTAAATGGAAATCAAATAGCTAACAGGAGATTAGGTTCTAGTTTCTAGAGCATCAGTATAAATCTGGCTAAAAAAAACCCAAAAACAAAAACATAATTGCAAGGGGTAGGGGGACAAAGAAACAAACTAAAAAAAAAAAAAAAAAAACAACCAAAAAACCTCCACTCTCAAATCATGAAAACCTACAGCTTCCTAGCCAGAAACACTATTTGAGGATTTAGGACACAGGATAGCTTGCACTGAATCTTCAAATTCCACTGTGACTCAAAATAATAAGATGAAAAGTGATGGATGGAGCAGAGAAAAAATCCAAGGAAAATATGAGTTTTTCAAAATTTTATGGATATTCCCTGCCTGACTTGACTGCATGTGATAGTTTGATGGGGGGAGGGGGGGCGTTCTGGTGGCAGGAGAGGAGATTTGCTCCCTGTGCCACCAGATCTGAGTCCCACCCCCCTCGGGAGGTTGAGCCAAATCGAGTCTCTGCGAATTGCCCTATTTAAGTTGGGACAAAGGGACAGGAAAAGGTCTTTTGCCCAGGAGCAAGGAGAGGGGAGGAGGGCGCTGTCCTCGCTCCTGGCTCCCAGCCGGGCAGCTGCCCAGGCTGGGCCGGTGCCACGTGCCCAAGATGGCGCCGGGGGGGA